CCCAACAGTATGACCAAGACCTCATCCAAGTTGTAGATGACTAAAGCACATGAAATTTCTAACCCCTGATCCTTTGCTCGTTACAGTACAAACCGAAGTTGATGCACGGGGATTGCCAATTTGCCAGGGATTAGGTAGGAGGAATATCCATGTTCAGCTTCTTCCTTCTCTTGTCCTGACACTTGTTGTACCCCACCCCTGGAAACGTGAAGTATCTGAGGCCACACAGCAAGAGTCCAGTTGAAGCCATCAACACAACCAGGAGTCTCTTTTAACACTCACCCACACGCTGACCTCCATGCAAGTAATGAGACTGGGGACCCCAGAGCTCTCTCCCAAAGCCAGCAGAATTGGGTGAACAGCATCCCCTCGATGTTGGGCCAGCACATCTGGAGCTAATAAGAGTTTAGTCTTGCCTTCAGCTTCGCACCTGGTTCTCCATGTGGGCTTCTCTTCCCAGTGAATGCAGTTGCACACCAGTCCAGATGTTCAAAGAGACAAGGCTCCTGTATGAAAGGTGAATGAAAGGACAGTGAGAAACTACATGTTTTAAAATCTTCAGACTATGACCCACCATGAACTGTTGGCCCTGCCACACAACAGGAAGGAAAGCATAATCCCAGCTGGATTAGAAGTAAACAAGCAGATGTGGTTGCCCTCAGGCAGCTTGAGGACACACCATCTCCTTCTGGACATGGTGTGTTAAAGACAGACTTTCTTTAAGATATCTATTTACCTTCAGGCTGCTAACTCCATGAACAGCCAGCTACTCAAGAAATGCCTGGTTAAATGGAGGTCAAGAAATGCCTGGTTAAAAGGTCCTGCCCCAACTTCCATGCAGCACGGCCAAGTCCCTTGGGACTTGCTTGGTAGCACGACACACAGAGCTGACCTGCTGTACTCATTCCTCCACTCGAGTCCTCCTAGTTTTAGAGACAACCTGGCTTGCCCAATGGACATGGGAGGAATTTTCCCAAGAAAAACCCCAAAACCTCTGCTGTGATGTACAGGAGGCAAGTCCTCTCTGCCAGCCTATGTACAGTCGTCAAATAGGGATGGGATGCATCCAACCTTTTATTATTATTTAAAAGCCAAGGCATCATGCCTTCTTTTTTTAATTCCAAAGAGTTAAGAATAAAGCAAAAAATTCCCTGCACCAACCACTTCTTTGAACAGCACTTTCAGCTGCTGGAGAGCCTCACTAACCTGAACTACGTGAAAACTTACAAATCAAAAGAAATTATAAACTGCCAGTTGGCAAAGAACTTACTTTGCTTTTTCACTTCTCCTTGCTTTTCATCAGTCCTGCAGAATTCCCCCTGCTTGCAGTGCAGGCCAATATTAACCCCCTACAGGAATGGGTGATATTGTTTGATGAATGAATAAAATATCAGGTCAGAAGTGTCTTGTTTGCCTGTATCTTCATTATCTCCTTCTCCATCCTCCTGAACTAGTGTGTAGGTTGTGTCTGGGCTGGTGTTTTTTCTTAGTGGTTATTCACTGTCTGGCTTGTACTAGCAGCTACTACCTGGGAGCCCTGGCCATCGGTTAAGGTTGAAGTTGTTTGACCTTGTGCAAACATCAAGTAGAAAAAATACTCCAGAAAGAGTTCAGAGTTTTGCCAGATTTTATTTTTCCCTGAGCATCTTTCCTTGCTAGACCCTTCATACAAATATTAAATCTGAAGCAGGGAATGGTTCAGTTGAGAAAACATTGTTTTACCTTTTTTTCCTTTCATCTTACAACATTATTTAAAGTGACAACATTATGATTTTTGCTGTGGGAATACAAATTGATGTGGATTACGGTAGTCAACTTCTACAGTGAAGTGCAGAGCTTGTAGCTTTTTTTTGGGGGGGAGGGGGAGAGGAGAGAGACAATTCTGTAGGAGAGGAAGATTTGGTAGAATATTTTTTAATAGAGGACTTTTTTAAAGATGAGCAAGATGTCTTAAGAGCTGTAACCACTCTCACAGGAAGAGGTGTACAAGCATCCTTTGTTTCAAACCCCAATTTATTCTCTCCTTTTCCCGTGAAGACAGGTAATCTCAGATTATTTACCAGTGTCTCATTTCCACCTCGCAAAAACAACCCTCGGAGCCAGAAAAAAAACACTCTCCGTCATCCTGTTTTTGTTTTGCATGTGTTTATTTTCATCTTAACATTAATTGCCCCATAACGTCTGCTTGGTTTTATCAATTAGCTTTTGCAGTGGGAAAATATTTTAGCGCCTAATACATCGTAATGATTTTTTTCCCTATTTGCCGAGGGGGTTATTAATAAATGTCCCCACTGGGGTTCGAACTCTGGTGCTCTGGTGTTTGCTTTAGGGGAAATGAGGGATTGGAGGAAAATCCTAACCAAACGGAGCTGTAATTAGAGGGAAAGCAGCTGCAATTAGAACTATATGTTAGACTACACCCACTGCACGTGGGGACAAACCTCTCCTTGACTCGGGCAGGGGTGGCAGCAGCAGCTCTGCCACAGCAGAAAGGGGAAGGCTGTGGGTTTTCCTTCACTCCCAGATGTTGCACCAAAGACTCGAACCTTGCACTCAGCATATTCTCTCCAAGGAAGGTTTTTTCGGCGGAGGAAATCTGGCCTGGCAAAAACCAACAGCAGACTCCTCCGGGCTGGGATTTCACCCTGATCCCTTGCTCCTCGCTATTTATTTAGCCTGAACCGCTGCCACCAGCGCTGCTGGGCTCTCTGGTGAGCTGCCAGAGGAGCAAGTCCTTCAAACGCCGCAGCTCGGTGCCCATCAGACACCCACGCGGTTCCCTGCCGAGCCCTCTCCTGCGGCTGCAGGTACTCCGGGGCTGGATGGGGAAGCCTGGAAGACCTCCTTCTCCTCCCTGCTGCCTCTACGGGCTTTGTTCACTGAGACAAGGACCAGGCACCACCGTCCCTTTGGCTTTTCTGGCTGTTACAAATCTACATTCATCATCGCCGGGAAATGAAGCGGCTAACAAGCTGTCCTAGCAAAATCCAATCTTCTCATAAGATATGGGTTTCTGGAAAGCCAAACTGGAAGAAGTTTTGCAGCCTGAGGGGAATTCAGGCTGAGCTAAAATATCCATGCTCGATTTTATCAATTAGCCAAACAACACATTTAACATTAAACACTTTCATATACGAAGGACACATACGGAATAAAAAAAAAGCAACAGATGTGCAATGTTGCTTAATATGGCTTTTAGCTTAATTCATCTCATTGCAGAAATCTGTAATTCTCATGGTTTGGTTCTGAACACCGGCTACTGTTGTAACCTGTTGTCCTTCCCTGATTTAAAAAAAAAAAAAAAAAAAAAAAAAAAAAAAACACCAAAACAATTACTATTATAGCACTATTAGCTTTAAGGATTTACAGCTTTACTTCTTTCACAGCAGAGCTCAGAAATAATATAATTTGCTCTGGAAAACCTGGCCATGTCCTTGCAAACCTCTATAGGGCACCTTGTAATGGGGTTCTCTATAGGTACCCCAAATAGCTGTTTGTAGGAAAAGGGTTGCTGCCAGCATCTGCTGGCTGGCTCTGGAGACCCATGTTTGAGTGAAGCATCCATCCCACCATACCCAAAGAAATTAGCAATGAGGTGCAAGGACTTGCCACACTCCCTTCTTCCACCACCTACATGGGATAGAGGAGGATTTTAGTCCATCAGTGAGCTGGATCCACAAGAGAGCAGATCTTGCCAAGCCCCCAAAAGATGCAAGCTCATCCCTGCAGCTATTTGAGCACCCGAAAAGTAACTGAGGAGAGGATGGGACTGGTTGTTCCCTCTGAACAGGAACAGCAGCTCCTCCAGACCCTGGATCTCAGTGCTTTGATCAGGAGAGCTCTGGTGGACCTTGGGACTACCAGTTTTCCAGTGTGGTAGAACAGAATGAGTAATTTAATGATTCTCTGTGTTGCAAAACTGCCTGAGAACCTCAGTGTGACTCCACAAGAGATGGCCCTGCCTGGCCAACCATCTGCTCTGGACAGTCCATGAGACTGCGAGGGAGAAGTGGGCATCACCACCAGCATTTCTGAAGCAAGGAGAGCTGACCCTTTACAAAAGTGTGTAGTTCATGCCCTACTGGTCTTCCTAGCAAAAGCATCCAGGCTTTGCACAGAGGAGGTGGGAACAGAACCTGAGGAACAGCTCAGCACCTTTTGCTGTAAAACAAAGCTTTCTGTCCTGATAAAAGTAAATACGTTTCCACCAACTTCACAAGGGCTTGGGCTCTGCTGGTATCTACTCTGATCCTTGGCCAGGCATTCACCACAACTAAGTATTTGTTCAAAAGCAGAACCTTTCTGAGTTACTGTGACACTGCTCATTCTTGAGACTTCTGACCATTTGGTTCCTTTTATTCCCTCCTTAACCTTTCTGTGCATATGCAATCACATCTCCCCACGTATACCTCTAATCACACATTATGTGCACACTATGTACGAGTATTACAGATCTTTAACACTCAAAAAAAAGCTTATTATTTATTTGAAATGTTGTTTTAAAGGAATATGCATTATACTAGGGCAGTAATGCTATATGTCTATACATACACACCCACAGGCATACATGTATTAGCAAGTCTATCTATAAGTGTATATACACACAAAAAAGACAACTTGAGATGCTCATTAGCTAAACACAGAGGTCAGTGCTGCACACTTTCCTCCCTGTGCTTAGGGGTGTAAAATACAGCCCCGGCTTTTAGAGCCACTTGTATTATCCCAACAGCACCCGAAACAGCACTACCTTGTGTGCCACTGCTTTGACACAGACGTTAATTTTCACTTGCAGCTGTGGCAATTAGAAAGTGTACTTAATAGAGTGTCATGTTAATTGTTGCAGAGTTAACCAATTTCTCCATTTAATTGTCAATTGATTAACCTATTGAAATGGTAAGTGACTCAGTTTCCTTCCAGAACAAACAGCAGCCACATATTGTAGCTTCATCCAGCTGGAGGGGGTACTCCGTGATTTGCTCAGACTCAATGTGCTGGTATTTTTCTACACCTCCCTGAGCTTTTAATTAGATGAGCCAATTTTACATGTATTTGTCTGCTGGAAAGGTTATCTGTGCTGGAGCTGACCTGCAGAGACAAGGTTGAGCCTAGCGGTCTTAATAGAAAAGGTTTTCAGCTATGACTGCTGTACTTGATTGCATTGTAATGGTAATTAACTTGAGACTTTGCCTCCCTCAATGTTTTTTTGTAGCTTTAACTATGCAATGAGATGTTTCCTCTGTCATATATATGCACTTATTAAGCTCTCATTGGATTCTAATATGCATGCAAATAGTCAAGAGTTTCTTAAGGCTAACACTACGCTATGTAGATTGTAGTGCCATTAAGTCACTACAAAGATGTAGCCTGCAGCAAACTTATAAGGCTTTTTTTTTTTTTTTTTTTTTCCTGTGAGTATATGCGAGGACTTGATTTTTCTTTTTTTTTTTTTTTTTTGCTTTCCTTAAACCTAAAGGAGGGAGAATTCCCTCTACATACTTTCACTCTTTTTATCTGAAGGATACTCCATGCAAGAGCACATTTTAATGCTGTTTCCTCCCAGAATGAGCCTAAAACTGTGCTCTAAAAGGAAGATTGCGACATTCTTAATTCAGTTTTTCAAGTCGGTTTGTAATCCATCCCCACCCCTACTCCTTTCTCCGCGCGGCTCGTTTGAAAGCCCTCGGTATCTCCTGTGTTTCTGCATGTTCTTTTACAGTACGGCACTGTCATTTAATTACGAGACAATCCACCACAACTGAGCAAGCATTTTCATCATTGATAATGTTGGTAGCAGGCAACTGAGACAAAATGATTACAAACCTATGTTGTGCTCAATAGTCCTTTAGAGGATTTCTCTCTTAATAGCGCTGGCTCATTCATGTTTGGTTCAGTACATTTGTTCTTTAAAAAAGGCATAGATTAGAAGAGTTTCAGGGTAGGTTAATAACTCAACTGAAAATGGCTGCTTGCATTGTCAAAGTCTGTTCCTGCAGTTGCCTGGTGCTTTCTTCAGTTCTTCCACACTGCAGCTTTGGCCCAGTTGGTAAACAGCTTAAGTCCAGACATCTTTTCATTCTCTGCGCAGAGGATTGAAATAAAAATGCATATAAGTGGCGACTGACTGGCGCTGGCCTGACAATAGCCTGTAACATTATGCAAGGGTATTTACATAGGAATAAGGCCTTGGTAAAGAAGACAGGGGCAATTAATGACTAGGGCCACACATATAAGGAAAGTTTGTCCAATCCTTTCCTCAATAAAGATCTTTTGTAAAGTGCTATGGAAACTCATGGAGGCCCCCAAACAGATTAGGAGAGGGACTTTTGTGGTGTGGGTGTTTTTCTTTTTTTTTTTTTTTTTTTTTTTTTTTTAAACTTGAAGTTAAAAGGGCCAAATTTTGTAAAGGTGAAATGTAATTCTTCTGCAGTTTAGAATTTTTTCCATTGTGACCCCCTCACACTTCCCCCTCTCCCCTCCCTTTTTTCTTTTCCACAGAAATTGGTTTTGTGCAGTTACATTCATAGGAAAAAGTATGGAAAAAAAAAAAAAAGAAAGGGAACGGTGTGCCTCAGCTGGGGAGCGTGGTGGAGGCAGACGGCTCGGAGGAGACCTGTCGCAACGCTTGACTCCTTCTGCTCGTGCAGGTTTGGCGCTTAAGCTAATTTGTAAGCATTTAGGGCCGGACTCTGATCTCCCTCCTGCCGCAGCCGCTCCACAGAGGCTGGCGAGCGCTTCCCAGCAGACACGAGGTGGGGAACCCCGCCGGCTGGATTTGGTCCCGTCTCCAATGTTTTGTGCTGCCGGGTGTGGGTGTAAGTAATTCTGACAAAGCGAGGTGCTGGAGGTGGAGCATCTTCAGCAGCAGCGCTGCATGGCTGTAGGGATTAACCCCAAGGCCTCATCCTGCCAGACGGGATGCTCTCCCCGAGGCTGGCAGGCAGGGGAGGGCTTCCAGTACTTTCCTGTGCCTCCTGCAGGGCTCAGCTTGAGGCTTGCAGATGCTGACAATGAGCCCATTTCCCTGGGGACACCAGCCCGTGTCCCCCCAGGGCAAAGCTGGCACAAAAGCCACAGCTGATGGTGCCTCGCCAAGGACATGAGGGGCTGTGTTGGTGCATTGCAGAGCATTGTGGATACCCAGTGTTGGGCCTGAAGTCATGGCAGGCCATCTGATGGGGCAGAGCTCCTGGGGACCTCTTCATTGATGCTGTGCTATCCTCTGGGGCCTCCTTTCCTTCTCAAGAGCTCCAAGCTGCTGTCCTCTACATCTCACCTGCCCCCTGACGAACCTTTTTTTCCTTGGTGGTCTTGGCATGTCTGTTAATGGCAGCTTGAGTGCGCCCACACCATTTGAGCAGTTTCACTTCCAGGCTCATACATTGGTGTTCAAAGACTTTACTCTTATTCTGATGACCAGTGGAGGACCCCCTGCTTGGGCTGATGCTGAAACATTTTAAACGTGTTCTCCAGAAAGCTGTAGGTCTCCATCATGAAAGTAGAGCAGGGATCCTACTCTTAAACCCGTCACATATGTTCAAGAAATCAAACCTTTGGTGGACATCAATGAGGAAAGCCCGAGTGATGACTCTGCCAAGTTTTAAGCTGTCCATTGATCTACTCACTGAATCCTTTTCCTCTTAGAGATTTTTGTATAGCAGAATATAACTCAAAGAAGGGAAAAGTGCATTTCCTGGGAACCCCAGTCATACCTTTCTTCTATCAAAATAATTTATAAGATCAACTCTTCCATGGGAATTAATGCCTATAACACTTGCTGGACATTGAAAGGGGGGAACGAATGTTAATAACACAAGTGTGTGGCTCCTGTGAGAGAAGCGTGCATGGAACAGAGAATGTGATTCTGCTTCAGCCCCAGAAAGCTACAGAAATCAATGCTTCATTCAAGGCTATTGATCAGTACTAAATTAATTAGACTTCAAGGCTTATGGCAGTTGATAAGACAACTTGTTAATTTAGTCAATGATAGTGTTTTCCCTAAAGCAGCAAATACCCTCTTTCTCAGAAAAGACATTTCTAGCACTTGCTATGCGACTTTCCCCCCTCCTCCTTTTATTAAAAAAAAAAAAAATCACTTTACATTTAAATTAAGATAAGAATGGGATGGGGGAGATACTTCCATTTACCCCTATTTGCCTTCTTTTGCTCTAACGTAGGAGCAGGGTGTTGATAACATCTGATGTAATTTAATAGGACGGCAGCATAACATTTAGCTTCTTCGACCCCGGCCCATTGACGGCGATGTTCATTTGGGAAAGCTGCTGGGGGGAGGAGGAGGAGGAGGGAGCAGACCCACTTTTTTCTAACCGCGTTTTTAAAATGGCAAGCCCAGGGCTTCTGCTTCCCAGGCGAGAAGGATGCTTGTCGCCACTGACAAAGGCACGGGCGCTGCCGGTGCTGCAAGCCGTGAATGCGACGAAGGTATCCCAGAATACCCCGGACACCGGGCCGTACTTCCTGCTGGCTGGGAAGGACAAAAGGACAAAGCCGAAGGAGTGCCGGGGTCCCACCACCAGCTCTTGGAGGCACCAGTCTGCCACCAGCAGCACTCCAACCCTCGGAGAATGCTAATAAGCCACTGAAGAGCTCGGCTTTCCTGCCATAATTCTATAGCGCCGTCGAGGACCCCATAGTGTTCACTAAATAAAGACAACTAATTGAGAATTTTTTGCACATTTTGCTCAGTGGACTTGTTGTTCAGGCGGTTTGTTGGGGAGAATGTCCCCCTACTGACAACAGGGGCCGATTGTTTTGGCAGCCGCCGGGTTAGCGCGAGTTCCCGGCTCTGAGGCTGACTTTCCAAGTATGACAAAAATGTTTAATTTCGGATTTTTTTTTTTTTTTTTTTAATTATGTGGCTGAGAATTATTTTGGCTTCATGGAAAATAGGCTGTCCAGCGTTCATGTTTATAAAAAAAAATAAAAAATTGCTGGCAGAATTTCCCAGAATGAAACCTTTGGTCTTTCTTTCTCTTTTCCCCCCTTACTCTCTCTTATTTCCCCCTCTCTCTCCTTTTTTTTTTTTTTTTTTTTTTTTTAAACTGTATTTTCTGTGGCGAGGCCTACATTTTTGTGTCTGCAGGTGACACTTTGATTGAAACTAAAATTAATAAATCAGCTGAAAAGCTCACACCTACAGCTCACAGCAGGGCCTTGAAAACACGGTTATAAAGGGAGCTTTATGCCCTTGTGTAAAGAAGGAATAAATTACAGAAGCACTTGTTGCCCTTGGACTCAATTTTGCTTTGCAGCCTGGTATCTTATTTTTGGAGCTTATTGTTAATCAACAGGTTCCTTGTAGGTTTAGCAGGTGACTTTGCTATTAATCTCCTATTTGACCGCTATAGCATATTAATGAGGTAGGCTTCTGGATGTGGCTATGTCTCCAGCACGAGGAATTAGTTTAAAAGGTGCACTCTTTACTCAATTGCCCACAGTTAACGATGCTGCAGCCCAAATGCAAAGTAGCATTTTCTACAGCTTGTGTAGCATTAAGAGTGTTTTACTAACATTATGTTCCTCACTGTGCTTTTCTTCTGTTGTATACTTATTTCTTCTCCATGGAGGGCTATTATCAGGCTTACTGGTCCTTCCTTCTCTTTATGTTTTTGGGGGCTTTCTTCATTTTGTATTCCCCTAACAAAATAAAGAAATTATATATAAATGACAAAATGATATCCTTCCTTATTAATGTGCACCTTGGTTTTAATTAAACAATTTTGGAGTGCTTTGGAGGTAACGCTGGATTTAAATGAAATACTCAGCTCAACATTTCTCTTCAAAACTAGCTTAATAAATATCATTATAAAGTGCAGGAATTCAACCAGCCCCATTTCACCTTGTATTTTGGGTCTGATTTAAGCTTGGAGTGAGGATACCTATAGGGGTAGTTTAAGAACATAAAGAAAAGCCGAGGATTTAAGTCTTAAATTTGTAATTACAAGGATCTGCCGAAATACATAATATTATGAGCCGGGCTACAAAACACCCTGGTGGAAACAACAGCTTTGTTGTAATACAGTAATTTCCACATTCCAAGGAACGTGCTCTGCCACAGATGGTTATTATCGGTGTTCCCTTTCATAACTTTCAGACGTGTGGTCTACCTCCCAAACAGATACATTTTCCTATTTAAATCAGCACTGCCAGGCTTATGCATGCAGATTCCCAGCATTTTTTTTAACAAGGACTCTTACACGCAACTGCATATTTGTGTCAGGTTAGATGTCAGCCTGGAGTTTTAGCCTGAACCGTAAATCTGTCTTTTATGGATTAAAGTCAAAGTTATCCAGTTACTTTAGCTTGGTATTTCGGTATTCCTTTTCTTTTTTTTTTTTTTTTTTTTTTTTTTAATTGGGGTGTATATGTTTAAAAATAAGGGCAGGAGAAACAAAATCTGCCAGTGAGTGTGTTTAAGAGCGAGCAGTGCAGGTATTGCTTACGCCTTGATCTGGGGCAGGGTGCTGCTCCCCTCTGCCTCTCACAAAAGCACCTGTGGAAGAAGATGTGCAGCCCACACTCCAAGTCACATTAAAATTCATATCTAATTTTTCAGTAATTAATGTCAATTTACATGGAAGCTGTTGCAGTGGGGTCTATGCCTCCCTGAAATGCTGCACTGGATTGAAGAGTGGCAACCAGACATCGTTAGAGGCTTTGGGAAAAAAAGTTTATAGGGACAAATTATGGGGGAACCATGAAGTTCATCTGCAGGCCTCGCCTTGGAGCAGGTAGGATGACCGATCAGGGTGCAATAGCCAGAAACAGGTTCACAAAACTTGGATGCACCCCGGAGGTACTTCCAAGGCAGGGCACATCCATCCTTGCATGTGTCCCCAGGCAGAGTGACACTGCGGGACATCCATAAACCAACTGTCTCACTCCTTAAAGCCAGTGTGGGATCTTCCCTACCTCAGGCCAACAATTTCACAAACCTTGCTTGGAAGGGAAAAAAAGAAAAAAAGAAAAAGAAAAGAAAAAAAAAAAAAAAGGTGTTTTTCAGCTCTAAGAATTTGCACAGAAACAGCCACTGACTTTAGTTTTCTTCACATTTTTTTTTTTTGAGATTTTTTTAAGAGATTTTGCAATGCAGTCCTGTTTATCAGGGTTCATAGAAGAGTAATTTTTTACTGCTCAAGCACAGACCCTATAAATCAGGATTTTTCATTAAAACACCAGCAAGCCCTTCACTGAAGTGGTGTGAGCAGGGGCTGTTCTAATGCCTATTTCTAAGCAGGAACAGTTAATGTAACACGGTTTGGGAGCCCTTCCCCTCCCCAGCCCCCATCTCCCCCAACTACTTACAGCACAAGGAGGTTTGAGCTTATTTTGTCTTTTCACAACTTAGCAAGATCAGACACATTTCTGCAATGCATATGCAGATTTTACCTCTTGTTACTTTCTCTAATGAGCTTTCACTTAATCAATTTGACAGTAGCCTTTCTTCCTTTTTGCTTCGTATCCACTAGGAAAGTATTCAGGAAAAAGTGTTAACAGTTTCAAGGGGTATTAGCAAAATGAAATGGTGGCACAGCCAAATTTAGGAAGATCGCAAGAGTGCTTTACGGAAGGGGAAAAAAATAGTTAAAACCAGGGATGTGGATTTAACAAGAATGTTTGTCTAGGAAATGAGCAGGACTGCAGACATCGCTCTTATTTCCCTGCAAATAATTTTAAATGATGGTAACAATGAGGAAGGAAATCCTGATTTTATGCAATTATGTGGTTATAAAAACGAGCACTTTCCCTGATAATATTTAAACCTCATGAAAATAAAAATACCTTCTATAATGAGCCATTGAGTGGTGGCCCTAGCTACAGCCGGCCATCAGGACAGGGATGCTGGAGGTTCCTGTGACCTGCAGAGCCCTGGAAGGGATCTGGGGAGTCCCATCCATCATACACAGATGGATTATCAAAGCTAGTTGGGTATTTGTTCCCATGTGGGCTGGTCTGGAGGCCAATTTGGGGCAGAAACCCCTCTGAGGGGTGTCAGGGTGGGATGGAAGGGAGGCAGTGGGAGTGTCTGGGGACCAATGCTGCCTGAGCTGGCAGGGGGATGCTGCACCCCGGTGTCAGCAGGGGGTGAGAAGCAAAACTAAGCTGGGGAATCGCCCCCAGGGTGGAAATGTCGGAGCTGGGTGAGTCAGCGCTTACGCACTCAATGTCAGCACTAAGCTGTGTCATCGCTGAGGACAGCTCTTAGGCATTAAATTCATAATAGCCGAGTGACCAAGGACTGCTGACACATCCTTACGCATCCTCGCTAACAAGGAGCATGAAGCTTTAGCCGGGGCTTTCAGAGTCACAGCCTTCATGGGCAGAAGGAAAGGTTCATGGGCAAATGATCTGGGGCTCCTTGCCATTAATGAACCCCCTGCAGCCTGCTGGCCAGGTCTGGTTGTCTGAGAAATGTCCAGAGCCCAATTCCTGCTAACCAGTCCCTTCATGTTGCACCACCAAGTCACTGGAGAAATGCCCCCAAGGGACCGCAGCCCAGCTCGTGGGAACAGACCATATGCAGGGCATGGGACTGCACCTAAGGAAAAGGTTTTCCTTTGTTTTCATGGGAGATTGGTGTCCTGTGTGATGGAAGGTGCAGCCTTCGTTCATGGGCTCCCATCCCTGGGTACTGACAACACTGGTGCTCCTCGGCTGGAAAATTCACCCCAAATCATCACTGAGATGGACAAAGAAATATAAAATAGCATTGCCATGTAGAAAATCTCATTTGAACTGAAAATAAAATCTACATTAGATTTGAATTAATCTTACCAGGGAATTAAATCTCATGGGAAGTCCCTTGCTGAACAGAGCCACAGGTACGTGATATAACTTCCCAGGAGTGAGTTATGGCCATGGCTGGGGGATGTTTCTAAGGACATGAGGGACCTGATCCTGCTTCTCATGGTGGCACAGGTCTCCTGCATGACCACAGGCAAGTCTCTTAACATCCCTTCCTCACCTGAAGATAAAGACATTAGGGTTTTCCTGCCCTGCTGAGATGCAAAAGCAAATGTGGAAACAGTGATATGGTCTGGTTCGACAGAAATGGGAACTGCAGAGGTGTCT